TTAGCGCCACCGCAGCACGGGAGGGAGAATTACGCCCAGGAGCAAATGGATAAAAATAGACCGGAGGAAAAAAAAAACATGAATAGATTATCTTGCGGACGTGTCGATGCATCGGATCGTCGGCTGTTGGATCGATGCATCGATACAAAACGATTATTATTTACACCCCTAATAAATATGCTTCATCTTTATTTTATTGTTTAGTTAAATTTCATTAAAGGGTCTCTAGACCCTGTACTTGTTTGTTTTATCAAAGTTAGACAATGTTTTGAAGCTCAGTTCATTCTGTCTCTCCCTTAGTTATTTGCAATTGACTTCATCTTTCTGAAGAGGAGGTGTCATCACTGTATTATTTTTTTTTTCTGGTATCACAACTTTATCTTGTAGAACAGAAATCTAGATCAAATCTGTTTTTCAGACCTAGAAGGAATCCTGCTTGTTACCATGTATCATTTCAGTGATTATTTTTTTAGGACTAGAAAATAATGGCATGGTAGAAAACAATGACTCATCTAGTATCATCATCTCTGCCAGCCGATCCATACTCTGCCTAACTCATTCAATTATACATCCTGTTGCAGAAAACGCACCAAATATTAACACAAATGGCCAGGTTTTGGCCTTAGGGGTGGTGTTAAGAGATTATTCTATCTTTACAGTAAAGAGTTGAACAGTTAAAAAGAGAAAAGCCTCCAGAAAGTGGAAGATGCAGAAGAAACGTTCATATAAAGAAAAGCTAGGATATGCTAAGGTAAATAATCTGACGGTTGGTTGAAAAAGAAATAAAGTATGATCAGGGTTATGACTGAATATTTCAGTAAGGGTCCCCAAGGCCACAGAATCATCCTATAAGTCATCATATAACCCCATTTATTTATTTTCTCCTCTCTCTTCCCAGGTTGGGATGACAGATGAACACATTTACAGTATAATAATAAAACTTTCAGGCTCTTAGTGTGGATTTGTGGCCCTCTTTTAAAAACACTGTACAACTGTATACAAGGAAGCAAAATGCCATTTTTTCCATGAAGCATCTGTGTTCGTAGCAAAACATTACAGTATAATTTAAAGAATATGATCACAGCATAGCTAACAGTTCTACAGTAATCATATAAAGGGCTATTCCCACGTCTTCTACCCTAAGGCTAATTGCTGTTATCATAACAGACCTAACAATGAAATATTAATGTGTATTCGTTTAACATAATTAAAGTCTGTGAATATTTTCATCTATTTTAAACATGCTTACAGAAATTAACTTGTTAAACTAGATTGCTGATCTGTAACTCTCTGGTTTAGTTCTACACATTAGTAATCTGGGACTGCATGCATGGAATTTATTTAAGGCATATTTATTAGAACATCCTGAGCTGTTTGGACAAAGTGACACAAACGGCCCACCTACCAAAAAACAACAACAACAAAAAAGTTAGATTTTAGCCAAGGACTGTAACCATGGATAGCATAGCAGCTATGCAAGCATCCTCCTGTGCTACCATGTATATTTTGGCTTGGCAGCACTTACTCTAGTCACAGCTGTATTTGCGCCTTAAAGTGCAACGTGATTGGCCGGACCCATTTTGGGTTGGTCTCAAACGGTTGTGAAGTAAAGCTCTGTGTTTACATTGTAAAGCTTTCCCTTCTCGATTCTTTCTGTAGCAGATATCACACAGAACAGCCACTTTAAATCACACTTTATAAGGTTTATCTATTAAATGATTAGAAACCATGACTTTATCTTCTACAGAATGGTCATCTTACTCAGAACAGAGAGGTTAGTCAGCAGCAACCCTGAATAAAGGTTAAGGAAGCATTTTATAAAACTCCAGTATCATACCCTGCCACATAATAATTGAACTTTATTGATCTTACATTGGAGAAATGTACCTCTGCATTTAACCCATCCCCTTGGGGAGCAGTGGGCTGCCATCGTGTGGCGCCCAGGGAGCATTTGGGGGTTAAGGATCTTGCTCAGGAACCCAGAGTGGAGGCTGTGGGGATTTTGCGACTTTATCAGAGCATCGGCACACTACCACTAGGTCAACACTCCCCACATCATCAGATGTCGCATCATTACATTATACACATTTGTAAATGAGGAGACATTGCTGGCTCCAGCCATATCAAGATATGCCTCAGTGTTCTAGATTAAAGTCATTCTGAATGCACTGTAAAAGAGCTCGCTTTTAACAATTTTCCACTCTGTCTGTGCTCCCATTTAATTCCCAAATCTTTGTTATGTACATAACGAAGATGATTACTTTTTATCCTGACAGAAGAGCTGTCTTTATTAAATAAACTGCTAGGAAAACCATTATCCTTGACACTTAACAGGAAGGGAATACTAAGGTTTAACCAGCATATACTAGGCAAACGGAAACTATATCTGCTTCTTAATTCTTACTGCAGCTTTCTAGCGTTGGCATAACTACTGAGCTACTGCGGCAACAGCACTGGGCCGAACTGTTTTACAGTTATACAGACTTTGAACTAAGCTGGTCTCACATCCACATGCCGTGCGGTTTCTGCTCAGTCTGCCCCCATTAGGAGGGAAAAGGTTCAAATATATTTTTTTTCTCTGTTAAAAGTATCAGAGAAAAGTTGTATTCCACACTGTTTGATGGAGTTTTTATTTTATTTTCAGATAAAATTTTATATCAATTCATGTCATTATGTCTCCTGAAGGGAAAATCTGCTGCAGGCGATGTTTGCTGCTCAGGTTTAGCTGAATGGACGACATGCTGCTATGATATAATTAAGGTTTACAGACTAGGCACAGCTCTGTTTTCCTCTCAGGGAAGTTTAAATGGGTCCCACACTTTCCATTTGATACACTCTCCTTTAATCCACCTATCGGCAGTGAGGAGTGAAACCTTTTTCTAAATGAATAAGCTCACATCCAGAACATAATGTGCTGAATTAACAGAATTTAAGGAATCATTCAGCAGGATGATTGTGTGGTTATACAAAAAACACCTTGGTTGTCTTAGGTTAAGTTTAAGTAACAATTAATTCATAGTTAATTTTTTTTTTTTTATTGAGGCAAATGGTAATAAAGTATCCTTCGATTTGTGTCATTGTTCTCTATTTGGATTTTACTAAATTTGCCCACAAGGAGACTTTTTTAAAAAGTTGTCAGTTTTCAATAATTTTAGAATGAATGATTCTCTAGTAAAGTCGAAACGCTTCCACCACAGTTGCAGTTTCTAATAAAAAGTGTTGTGACGGTTTTAACTGGTACCTGATTTAACAGACTTCCTTTATAAATTCTGGTACAGGCAGACAATTTAGCACAAGAAATGTAAAACTAAAAAGATTTTTAACCCATAAATAAAGAAATGGGTGAAAAACTGAAAATTTTAGGTTTTTGTAATTCCTACTGAATATTTTATTCTTATATATTTACCACACCTTTTGAATTTTGAATATTTTTGCTTGGAGTCTATGAAAAACAATGATCCTGCTAAATGAAACACCTTTTCCCTGGACGTTGATCCTCCCTCTGTTCTCCTCATCTGTGAGCTCAGCAGGAAGTCCAGAACAAGCAGGACGTCGGTTAGAGATGAACAAATGATCCTCACGGCCTAGCAGTGATAATCAGCAGCACTCATATTTCCACAGTGAAATCCCAGCAGCTGGATGAAGGGCAGAGGGCAGAGATGTTCACTAACAGCCTTATTAACCCAGCATCCACAAACAGTCAGCAGGGTCAGCAGACAGCTCTGTCTGCTCCTGCTGCTTATCAGGTGGACTCATAAGGAGAAGGTTAGAGTCAGAGGGATCACTAAGGTGGATCTGTTCTGGACCTAACCACTCAGAACTGTGGGGAAGCTCATCATTCTTTCTTCCTCTCACCTGTTTCCTTCTCTCTGTGTCACAGTGTGATGTACGTGTTCGGCGGTTTCAACAGCCTGCTGCTGAGCGACGTCCTGATGTACACCTCGCCCAGCTGCTCGGCCTTTTCCAGCCTGGAGTCCTGCAGCCGGGCCTGGCCTGGGATCCACTGCATGTGGAACAGCAGCCAGGAAGCCTGCCTGCCGTGGGAGAGCAACAGCTCCAGTCCTGATCCTCAGCTCCCGGCCTCCTGTAGCACCAGGTCATGTAGGTGACACCAAGCTGCAGTAAAACAAGCCTGTTTTTGACTCTTCATATTGAAAATACTCCCTTTTGTTGACGTCATCATTTCCTTTCAGTCTGTAAAAAGCAGCTTTTTCCTAACTAATTTCATCACTTTACTACAACTTTGTAGCATTAGTTACTCATGAGACTCCATGTCGATGGGACGGCATTTTTTTTGTTTTGCTTTTCTAGACTTACTGGTCACGCCTGGTCACGACGTACTTGCTTACTGAATGCCGTGTGCGTAACTTGCGTAAAAAACGTGATGTAAGTTGTGCTGCCCAGGGCTCTGGTGCTGCCTGGAATCGATAAGATCAAATAGTGCCATGGAATTGGAACACATGGAACCGGTTCTGAACAGGAACCGGTATTCGATTCCTATCCCTATTCAGGGGTATAAACACTGCTGTAAGGCGTTGTTTGTTGCCTAATAAAAGTCGGGTAGGTTGTGACTGCTCTGTGGTTAACAGCAGCACAAAGTTCTGTTAGAATGTCAAAGGACTAAATACTTTCTACTGGATTTTCAAATTGAAAGTTTGGCTTAAATTAAAATTAAGTGATATCTGACAGCTTGAAATAAAGCCTGGTTTTAGCTCTGTTTATGGCTTCATCAACTCTTTTAGCTGATATGTTTTCAAACATAGAAAAAAAAAAAATATTTTGTAATGTTCATTTATTTTAAGAAAAGAAACCTAAAAAGCTGAAATCTGTCAGTGGTAGATAATTCTGGGGAAATATCTTGATGTCTGATGATCTTTTTCACCCATAATCTTTCTCTTTTCCACAAAATAAACTTATCTTCTCTCCAGTGGAAATGGAGCAGTCATGTGTCTTTCTGCCTGTTGCAGATGTTGACGATGAGCGTTGTGAGCAGTACACAGACTGCTACAGCTGCACGGCCAACACAAACGGCTGCCAGTGGTGCTCAGGGAAGTGTCTGTCTCTGGGGAGCAACTGCACCGCTTCCACGGTATCAAACACAAACACACCCCACCTCATTCTACTATATATAGTCAGGACATGTGTTGACTCCCATTGACTTTCAGTATTTTTCAGCCCTTCCTATGGCCAAACCCACACAGATGATGAGAATGCATTTATTTCTCAATCGTTTGCAGTTTTTGATATTCAACAATGAGTACATTTAAGTGCATGTTGGACACAAAAGGTACGAGATTTGTGTTAGTAATCAGCATTTAGAAATAATGCAAGAAAAATAAAAAAATCTCAAAAGTTGGCAAATTCCCACATGTGAACGTGTTCATTAATAGATGAACATGTAGAACAGGGAAGCAAAATAAAGTGCTGTAGAACAACAGGCCATTTTACCCCATAAACCTTAGTTGTTGCAAAATTAGCCAAAGGTTTTTGTCAAGCTTTTAAAAGTTGAACACGTCTTCCCTGCAGAACACAAACTGTTCTCTGCTGTTCTCCACCGGTCGCCTCCTCTGTTCTTCTGTTTGAGCCACAGAATAGTAACTCAGAGAATCTCTTATTTCTCATCATCTCTCTTCCATCTTTTTCCTCCTGACCACAAACACTCCCACACACATAGTTGGAGAATGCAGATATAGAAAGTGGTTCACGTTCACAGATAAACAGTCTGCATTAGGTATTATATTACCAAACTATATCCAATATCATCTGTTGAAAAAAAACAGTGGTTTCAGTGCCTGTTAAATTTAGAGCGCCTCACAACGATGTTCACAACTCGTAGTTTTTTTCTTTGTATCTTGTCAAATGACAACCACACAGCTGAATGTATTTAGTGGGATTTAATGTGATAGACAGATTGCCATGTTCAGTTCTGTTTATCCTTCTGTTACGTTTAACACTTTGAGGTTCACACCAAGAAAATGTTTTTGTGGAATGATTATTTATTTTATAACAGGGAGTGTAAGGTGCAGCTCCTGAGTTAGATATAAAATAGAATAGAATAGAATAGAATAGAATGGAATAGAATAGAAAATCCCTTTATGGTCCCACAATGGGGAAACTGGTGTTTACAGCAGAAAAAAGATTATAGGAAAAAATGGTCATTCAAGCATGGACCTTAGAAAAATGTATAAGAATAACAAAATAGTGAATTATTAAAAGATAAACAATAAAATACTGTACTATAAAGTGTTTTAACAATATCAAATTGTGCACCTGGAGATTAAATAACCAATATACAGCTATGGACATTTTTATAGTAATGAATATTTGAAAATAGCAGCAACATCAAAGATGTGCAAAATGACAGCAGCATGTTATTTAACTGATTAAGGTAAAACCTGTGCAAAATCAGCATGAATATAACAACTTATTGAGGTTGTTGGGAACAGTGGTGGTTATAAAGCTTTACAGCTGCTGGGAGGAAGATCTGCGATAACGCTCCCTGGTGCATTTAAGGTGGAGCAGGCTGTCACTGAAGGAGCTCTTCAGTTCTGAAACAGATTTATGCTTGGGGAGGTAGACATTATCCAACAGAGATGTTAAATGATTCCAGAAGGCATCCAATCACAGAGCTGACCTTCCTGATCAGCTTATCCAGCCGCTTTCTCTCAGCTACAGATAAGCCACTGCTATGACAGCCAGTTCCATAGATGGCTGATGCCACAACCACAACACGTTATAGACCTCAGTCTCCTCAGCAGGAAGTTTCTGCTCTGATCTTTCTTATACAGAGCCTCAGTGTAATGAGCAAAGTTCAGTTTGTTATTCAGGTTAACTCCTAGGTACTTTTAAGAGTCCACTATCTCAATGTCCGTTCCCTGGATGTGGCTTTTCTCAACTTTCTGTGCTGCTCATGGGTTGATTAGTTATGGATTTTATTTTAATGGAGTTTATGTAGATTTTCTTTTTGAAAAATCTTTCACTTTGGAAAAATAGGAGAAACTTCCATCACTGCTTTGATCTGGAGCAGCAGCCAGTAGTTTAATGTTGGAACCACTAACCATGAGCTTCTTCTGCTCTACCTCATCATTGGATTATTGGATCTGAGCGACAGTGTAATCAGATTACTTAATCCAAACAGACTTCTATCTAATCAAGAAACGATACTTCATGTAAACTTAGCTGATGACATTAGAAAGGTTTGTTGTTTTGATTTTTTTTTTTAGAAGAAATGAGGAGCCCTGCTGCTCTGCTAAAACTCCTGCAGTCTTCAGTTGTTTCTGGGAGATCAGTGCTGCTGTCGATTAATTTCTGTGGATTTCCTCCATGATTAGCTTCACCTTTTTAAACTGGGACGTGTCATTAGTGAGAAACAATCAGAGCTCCAACTTGTTTGCAGAGCTGGGTCTGATTTGTTGCCCTGCGATCAAATCAGTCCTCATTTAGATGCTGTCAGACACACAGATGCAGCTCGTATGTCTTCCTCAGTTCTCTCCAACAACACCGATGCTCGAACATTTCTTAAACAAGGGTCGGCTTTTCTATTTTCAGTTTGATGATAATCTGAAGGGTTTATTAATGAGCAGTATTTGTCTAAAATGACTGTTTTCATCTTTTTGTGTTTTTTCCCCTCCAGGGATCCATATCAGAGTATGAAAGCTGCCCCAAAGACAATCCTTCCTTTGTGTGCAACAAGAAAACCAGCTGCAAAAGCTGCTCTGTGGACCAGAACTGCCAGTGGGATAATCGCAACCAGGATTGTATCTCACTGCCAGGTAGCTCTAATCCGGAGCTCCTTTCATGTCAAATGTGGCATCATAGCCTGAAACTGAGTACATGGTCAAGGAGAAATCTTTTATTCGTAAAACATTTGACTCATTTTGCAGTTTGACTTTAGTTTTGAACTGGAATCATGAACGTTTCTCATTCATTAAAGATCTCACTCAGTACAGCATGTCTTCGCTCTACTCCAGAGAACGTGTGCGGTGAAACCTGGCACCTCGTGGGCAACTCTTGTCTGAAGTTCAACACAACCAGCGAGTCATACGATAATGCCAAGCTGGCCTGCAGGAACCACAACGCCGTCCTGGCCTCCCTCACCACGCAGAAGAAGGTGGACTTCGTCCTGAAGGAGCTGCAGATCATGAACGTCTTGGTGAGCTAGTGGTGTTGGATGCGCCAGTCTGGGAAAAGGGTCATACGATCAGTAGCGGATTAGACAGTGATAGCAACGCTTGGCTTTAATTTTTCAGCAGTTTCTCATGTTTAATCAGAGCCGCTCCAAAAACAAAGACAATAATCCACATAATACAGAAACTTGTTAGGTTTTTCTATTTTAATTACCGTAATTTTCGTACTATAAGCCGCAACTTTTTCCCCATTTTTCGACCTTGCGGCTTATATAACAATGCGGCTTATCTATGGACTTTTACAGCTAACAGTCACTGGGGTAATTGCGAAATCTATGGATTTTACCATCCACCATGTTGTCGTCACATTTGCCTCAACACACAAGTACTGTAGCCGCACGCGGGAATGTGGAGGTCCTCCGGAAGCAGACTTCTATCGCGAGTGGTACAAGACAGAACGACAGTGAGAAAGACGGACATTAAACATAAAAAACCTGCGACTTATAGTCCGGTGTGGCTTGTATATGTAAAAATCATGCAATTTAGCTTCTGCGGCTTATATTCAGGTGCGGCTAATAGTCTGAAAATTACGGTATTTAATTATTAAGTTATTGCTTTAAAGCATAAAGACAAAAGTGATTTATAAAATAACAAGCATAACGCTAAGATTTTTTTTAATCTTTCTGTTCATACGTTAAAACGATGAGCTTTGTAAATTTAGCTTCAGGTGTCCTTTTTTTTTTTCCGCCCCCTTTATAAATATTTTTCTCTAAGATGTCGCTGAGCTTTGCTTGGATTCTTTCTTTTTTCTTTCTAGTTTTTAGACCAGGAAGCATGAAACAAGTTTCAGACGAGCAGATCTTTCCCTCCAGAGCTCCGACACGTTTCGTTTGCTCTATTAGAGAGAAAACCCAGAAATCAATCCAGACAACTGACTAATCATCCATGAAGCCATTTATATCATTACTAACTGAATGAATTTGTCTCCTTGTCAGGTAAAAATGTTGTCGTTGTTTACTCTTCAACCTTTCCACTTTGTCTACTTTGTGCTCAGCTTGTAAATGAATTGACCTTTTGAAACTTTTCTCCTTCGGTTGAACATTACAGCGACAATTACACAAACTTTGATTTATTTTATCAGGTTTTTGTTGTGATGGACCAACATGATGTAGCTTATAATTAAGCAGAAAAAAAGGAAAACATGTTTTTATTAAAGTCTGTTATTAACTTAAAGTGTGTCTCACATTTGTATCAGGATTTTAATTTAATTACGAAAAAAACATGGGGGAGCTTAACGTTTTTATTTTAAATAAAATATTTCAAATGACGTTAGAGTGACGAAGAGTGTCTGTGAATGAACATCATCTTCAGATTTCATCAGGGGTTAAAAATGTCTCCCATTTAATCCCCATAAATAAGAAGGCCTTTTTAAATCAAAAGTGTTTGTTTGATTCAAATGGAACTGAATTTGAAGCCGCAGAGAGAAATTAAAATAGAAGTGTTTTAATTGGATTTTTTTTCTCTAACTTTCACAATTATAGAAAAATAGTTCCACCTCTTCAAGCTGTTGAGTACAAGTAAACAAACTGTTCTGAGAGCCCTGAATAGAAACATCTTACATTCTCAGTTTTGCTCCAATTGATCCAAAGCTATTGTTGTAAAACTATTTGTTTATTGTAACTTTAGAGTTTCGTATTGCAGATTAATTAAATTCCACCCTTTACTCTGAAATTGGGCTTGAATGAATTTATTCTAATTTTGTATTATATTGTTTTAGAAATTACAGCTAAAGGGGGATTTTAATAGGCTGGACTTATTTTGTGAGTTTATCAGTTTCTGTAGCTGGCGTTCAGCTCTCGGTGTCCTCAAAGACTTCCATCTGTCTGATGTTGACAGAAGCCGTTGGAAGGGTTTCCTGACAGAATCAATTGATCCAATAACTGGAATTACATGTCAGTCTACAGTCATTTGTCTCTGCGCTTTGTCTGTTCTTTAAACTGCAACATATCTGCAGACCTGACATGGGTTTAAGTGCTAAAGCCCTTTAAAGTCAAGTGAAATAAACCTTCCATTACAGCAGAGAAGATGACGGTTCAGATTAATGACTTCTGTCATTTTTCCTTCTTCTTTTCCTATCAGGGTAAAGTTGTGTTTTGCTGAAACAAAATGAAGATGGATGTCATGTTGTCTCTGTGATTCTGAGTTTTTTCCTCATTCATTAATCTGCTTGTTGGGGGAACAACCATTTCCAGCTTTATTTCTTCCTTTAATCCTGAGAGACATTTAAAAAGTGAATAGAAGTTGTAAAAGCAGATGGATAAGATCATCTTTGTCTTATTTTATCAGTATAAGACCACAATGACTCCCTGGGTGGGACTGAGGAAGATCAACGTGTCCTATTGGTGCTGGGAGGAACTGTCGCCCTTCACCAACACAACCCTGCAGTGGCTGCCCGGAGAGCCAAGTGACGCAGGATTTTGTGGCTACCTGGCTGAACCGTCCTCCGTTGGACTGAAGGCCCAATCCTGCATCAACCCAGTGAATGGCAGCCTGTGTGAGCGACCTGGTAGGATTTCCTCCACTGAAACATTTTCACACATTACAGCCATAAGCTTGTTTCAGCTTTTGTGATGGACAAAATCAAATGATCTAGAAGAAAATTGATACAACATTTTAAATATGTTTATGGTCTAAAAAAAACAAACCCTCAAAATAATGATTTATGATAGAATAGATTGCTATTCAGCTCTTTAAACCAATAAATTGTAGAACTATGATGTTCTTCTGTATGGAGTGTCCATTATTGTTGCAAGAAAAGAACAATGTTATTACCGTATTTTCACGACCATAAGGCGCACCGTA